TTTTATAGACCCTGGGAAAAAGAATTTTCAGCAAAGTACAAAAATTTAAAGCATTCCTTTCTTTAATTTTGTAATTCTTTACTGTGGAATAGCTCAGAATATCAGTTCTATTTTAGGTAACAGAATTGATAACTGAGCAAGGAAACGTAATTTGGATTATAAAATTCTTGCTTTAATAAAAATCCCTTAAACCGTGAAAAAAAAAAGGAGTGCTAATTGTGGAGCCAAGCAAGCTGTAATCGTTAACCTCAATCTCTTCTCCATCTATCATGGTGCTGCAAATTGGACCAGTGGTGAGAATCTTTGTCTTCTTGATGTTAAGCTTCAATCTATATTGAGAACTATAGTCCTTGACCTTCTGCAGCAAGCACTTCAGGTCTTCTTCAGTTTCAGCAAGCAAAATTGTGTCATCTGCCTAAGTAGGTTGTTCATAAATCTATCTCCAATCCTGATGCCACATTCCTCCTCATAAAGCCCTGCTTCCCGAATGATCTGTTCTGCATATAGATTGAAAAGATATGGATGGAACAGGATGCATCCCTGACACACTCCTTTCCTGATTTTGAACCTTGCACTGTTTCCCTGCTTTGTTCTAAGGACTACTTCCTGGTCCAAGTATAGGTTTTGCATAAGCACAATCAAGTATTCTGGGACTCCTGTTTTCCTCAAGATTAGTGACAATGTGTTGTGATTCACACAGTCAAATGCCCTTGCTTAATCAATGAAACACATATAGACATTTCTCTGGTACTCTGCTTTCTGCCAAGATCCATCTGACATTGGCGATAATGTCTCTAGTGCATGACCTCTTCAAAACTAAGCTTTTATTTCTGGTAGTTCTCTGTCAATGTTTCTAAACAATCTTCAGCAGGATTTTGCTATGATAGTGATTGCTGTGATTTTGTGTGATATTGGTGACATTGTTCACTAATTTTCACACTTTGTTGAGTCGCTTTTTTGGGGAATGGGAATAAATATGGATCTCTTCCAGTCAGTTGGCCTCCAGATTTCTTGGCACAACTTGGCAAGCACATCCAGGGCAGTTTCTGTTTATTGAAATACGTCAATTGGTATTCCATCAATTCCTGGGGCTTTATTTTTTGCCAAGTCCTACAGAGCAGCCTGAACTTCTCCCTTTAACACCAGTGCCTCTTAATCGTGTTGCTTCTTGAAATTCTGTGTTAACCAATTCTTTTTGGTGCAATGACTCTGTATACGCCTTCCATCTTCTTTTAATGCTTCCTGAATCATTCAATGTTCTGTCCATAGCATCCTTAAGCATTGCAACTTGTGGCTTGAATTTGTTCTTCAGTTCCTTCAGCTTAAGAAATGCTGAGCGAGTTCAGCCCTTTTGATTTTCTG